ACTCCCAAAGGTTTTCTTTTTGATAAAAACAATCCACATTTTTGTGGTTTTTAATTAGTTTTAACAATAGTTTTAATTTAATTTTTATATAGTCGAAACTATAGTTTCAGTCGAATTTGTAGTTCCACATCTGTATGTATATTGTCCATTTTCATATTTCCTTCATACAATCCGCTTATGTTTATAATGTAATATATATACAATATAATTAGCACATTCCAAAATAACAATTAAAAAGTTTACTTAATTATCATTTAATCAAAATAGATATTTTAAATGGAAATATAAACATAAATTGAATAATATGAATAATCAACACATGTGAATAATCGCCGAAGTGTATCTTGTTGAATATTTTTTAGCAGAATCATCCAAAAATTTAATCAATTCATTATCACATATTTTAAAATTGGACTTTTTCTCGTTAACCAATTTCGACATTATATATGTGTTGATTTCTTTGCCAATTTTTAACACTTTTTCTTGACTAAAGAGTAAGATTCCCTTATAATATATAGAGCAAATACGCTCAATTTGTAAAGACTTTTGGGATTTTCGTGATGGTTTTGAATCAAACCAAAAACCGAGTTCAAGACATATGTCAAATAACAAATTTTCAACATACACCCTTTTGTTTTTCTCAAATCGTCGTAATGAAGTCGATTTACTAATTCCATTTTTCTCTTCTTTATTTGACACTTCTTCACAATATTTCTGTGCTAATTGTTTGATTTCAATTGTTTCAGTGGGGAATTGAAGTGAATAAAGTCGTGGCATTGAAGCAGTCACTTTAGACCGCTTTCCAGGATGTTCTAGAGTAAATCCACAAAATTTGTTAACTAATGCTAAAAGTAAAGCTTGTTGATAACTTTCAAGGTTTCTGACTTCGCGTTTTTTTAAAGTATATCGTGTTTCATCTATTCGTTTTTTTTCAACCTTGACCTTTCTGGATGATTCTTTTGATGTTTTTGATGGGTTTGATATATGAGTTGACATAGATTGATAATCTTAGATAGAGGGCATTATTTATCTGTCTTTTTGTTGTTTTATATTTTCAAAACAAAGATGTATTTTTATTTAATTAATACTCCCTTTAAAATATTTGAGTTTGTTAAAATCATCATAATTAAAATATTTGTTTTATTCATATTCTTCCCGAATAACGTTTGAAATTGTCTCTGTTATGAACATTTTTCAATTGTGTGTTTAACAACATGTTTTTTATTATTTAAATAAAAATGTGTTTAAATGTAAATTGATAAATAAATAATATGATATTATGTAGTTCATAATTTTTTTGTTTAATATTAAATTATCACATTATGAGTTTTGGAAAAGTCAAAAACATTTGATCAATTGTTGGAGCAAAATCAAATTTATTGAAAACACACCCAATAAAGAAAACACTGATTTTGATTAATAAAAAACACTTTTTAACGAAACGCCAATTATTTATTCGAAATGTTTTCAAATGAAATAATAACGAAAAAAACACAAAAATAAAAACAATTTGTTGTTTAATAAATAAACAAACAGTTGTCATTTTTTAATTATTTTGGTTAGGTATAAAATGAATTAATTGTTTTTTAAAAGAAAAATAATTTGTTAAATTGTTTAAATATAACAAAAATCATTTTTCTTAAAAAATAGAAAACAATCTATTGTATAATTTACTGATAATAACAAATCCCATTACTAATATGATTTTTAAAAATATTACAAATTGGTTAACAAGAAAACTAGAAAAAATATTGACATTTACTAGTATGTCAAAAATTTATCAAATTGTATAAATTTATCAAGTTTCAAATTGATAAAATACAACATTATTCATAACAAGTATGATTTAAAATAAAATAAATAACAAGTGTTATATAACAATACAAAAACCAAAATATTTATATTCATGTTTATAACTTTTCAAAACATGATCATAATAGGTAAGGTCTCGTGTAAAACCAAAAGAAGTGACATAGGCGAACAAGTTTGTTTGACAAATTTTGAGTGTTTGCTTACAAACAGTATACATAAATTACGTTTCTAAATATAAAATATTTTTGTGGTTTTGAGTGATTAGATCGACTTGAGGGGTTTAGTAATTACCTGTATTTTAATTATTATTATAAATCCATGAAGTGTACAGACTCTTTTGTAAATTCGGTTGTGCGATCAAGGACAGTTGTTGACGTGTGAAAAGGGGTATTTTATTAATAAGAATTGCTGTGTTGGATGTAATTCCATATTTGGTCGTGTTGAATGTGATAATGGAATAAGTTGCACCAAATGTCAAGATGGACTCAACTTTTTTGATAATTGTGGGATTGGCGAGTATTCATTAAAATGTGGCATTTCGCATTGCACAAAATGTTCATCTACATCATTATGTAACAAGTGTGACATTCCTTATGTGCTTGACGGAGGTATGTGTGTACTGTTGAAATCAACATTGTACAGAATGTGATTCACAGAGTGGACAGTGCACATTATGTGAACTTGGACAATACAATTTAGTAGATGGCAAGTGTTTTGAGAATGAAATCAATTTTGTGTTTTTGACAAAAAGTGTACTCAATTGTTTAGAAGATGAAATTGAAAATGTCGAAGGTACTTCTTGTGTGAAAATCTAGATTGACGAATACAAGAAAAGTTCAACTGAAGCTGCGAATTGTTCCTCTGCTATTTATAAATGTTACCAATGTGATTTCATGGCACTTGGAGATAATAAACGATTTAAGTGTACATTGTGTAAAACTGGCTATGGCTTTGAATCTTTAAAACACAAGAAATGTGTCAAAACAACCAATTTAGTTGAATTGAATGGATATATTATTTATTGTAAAAAGGATGTTTAACATGTACTAACTTTACGAATTGTTTATATTCAAATACATTTGCATTTACATCAAAGTATAACAATAAGTATATCTACAATAATCATGAATTATACCAAAAGTATTCATTTGTGTTTGGGTGTGTTAAGTGCCTAAATTAGATTTATCAAAAAGGTATTTGTGATGTAAATGAAAGAAGCAAATATTAATTTTTCACTGATTGGGGTAAAACTCGCCCCTCTACAAACAGTATTGGACAAAATCGGGTGTTTGCTCGAAATTTATAAACTGCCACGTCAGGGGATTCTTTGCTCCAAATTTAGAAGGCAATTTGAAGGAAAGAAATTGCAAAACGAAACGAAAATAAAACAGGGTTAAGTCATATAGTAAAACAAATAGTATATTGTTACTATTTATATATAGTTGAATCGTTGTTTTTTAATCAAACAATTGAATAGTATAAATAATAATAAATTATAGTTGTTATAAAAATAGTATTATTATATAATAAATTAATATAATCTACAATTTAATAGTAAAATAAAAAAAAATATAAACCTGAAACACAATTAAACTATTAATTTATTAATTATAATTTATTAATTATTAATTAAATTTTGTTAATATTTATATTATATTAATAAATTAACAATAAATAAAAACATATAATATGATAAAGTATAATGATGCTATATTATATGATATCGAATAATAAAAATTAACGTTAATTAAATTCAGTTAGTCAAAATATTAAAATCTGAAGTCAAATTTTCAATTAATTTTCTATTTGATTATTTTAATAGTTTTTTTAAGTTGTTCATTAGTTATGAAGTATTGTTTGTCTGAATTCTATCAATTACATATTATTTTATATTCAAACCAGTTTATTATGATAAACATTATTTATTTTATTATGCAAAAGCTTTGAAAAATTTTTTAACCAAACCCACTTTACAAACATTTCAATTACGTTTTTGTTTCTCGTTTATCTTTTGACTAACATGACTATCAAAATATAAAATTATGGGCTATTATTGAATAAAAGAAATATTCACACCACAAAAATTTATATATTGATATAGTTTTTTATTTACCAATAAAACAATATACAATCAATCAATTTGATAGACACCACAAAACGAACAAGATGAAATAATGAATAAAGATGCTCCATTTAGAGAAAAACTAATCATAATAATTAAAATGTATTTGTAAATCAAAGAAATAATTGTTGTTTTCAAATATTGTTATTGTTCAAAAACAAATTCATTTAAATATTTTATAAAAGTCAATTCATTTTAAAATTTTCATAAATAACTTATGCTGTTTTTGCAAACTATATTTAAATTTAGGCTTATTTAAGCGTTAATATGATTTTTTTGACAACAATTGTAATTAACACGAAAAATATTTAACTATCATAATTTATAATGTATATATTGTTATATTTTTATGCGCTTATGTTGTTGTTTACTATTATTTCAATTTTAACGAAATGATAATATTATTATGTTTATTATTTTGTTTGTAATAATGGTTCGTGCATATATATTGGTGAACAATGAATAATTTGTGTATTTCATATTTAATAAAAGAATTTGCTTATTTATTCTTGTTTATTGTACCCAATTTTTTTATTGGTGTTAAATTATTAATTTTAACATCATATTCAATATTATCATTAGTTTGTCATTATATCTAATAAATTATTGAGTCAATCTTCC